AATATCATGATTTAGCTGAAGTCTTTGGGGAGGCTGAAGCTGATGAACTACCCCCCCATCGCTACTCTGACTGCAGCATTGAGTTATTGCCAGGCTGTAAACTTCCCAAGGGGAAAATCTATGCCATGGGACCCGCAGAGAAGGCGGAACTGCAGAAATTCATTGACAAAAACTTGGCTAGAGGATTTATCCGTCCGGCTTCCTCCCCGTTTGCAGCCCCGGTTTTATTCCGGAAAAAGAAGGATGGTGGTCTTCGCTTATGTACTGATTATCGTGGCTTGAATGCGGTTTCGGCCACAAATGCGTACCCCCTCCCCCTGATCAAAGACCTCGTTGCAGAAGCTACAAAGGGCAAAATCTTCTCCAAACTGGATTTGAGGGATGCGTACTTTCGAGTGCGTATTAGGGAGGGGGATGAGGGTAAAACTGCATTCAACACCCCCTTGGGCCAATTTGAGTACCTTGTTATGCCCTTCGGTCTGCAGGGGGCTCCTGGGGTCTTCATGAATTTGATTAATGAGGTCCTGCATGACTTCTTGTTTAAAGGTGTGGTTATTTACCTTGATGACGTGTTACTGTACTCACAGGACCTCCCCTCCCATGTTAAACTGGTTAGAAAGGTCCTCAAAACGTTACACAAGCACAAACTGTTTGCCAAGCTTTCTAAGTGTGCTTTTCACCAATCCCACATTGATTTTCTCGGTTATCGCATCTCGGGTGGGGGGTTGGAAATGGACCCAGAGAAGGTTAAAGCTGTTCTTGACTGGGAACCCCCCAGAACCCGTCATCAACTGCAGGGTTTCTTAGGATTCGCCAATTTCTACAGATTTTTTATCAAAGGCTTTGCACAAATTGCTTTACCTTTCACTGACCTGCTCAAGACTAAAGGGAAGGGTTTTGACGCTACTAAGCCAGGTGCCCCCCTTAAATGGTCTCCTGAATGTGCCACAGCTTTTGACCGTTTAAAGGCTATGTTCACTTCTGAACCTGTTCTGGCACACCCTGATGAATCTAAGAAATACATTGTGCAAACTGATGCCTCGGATGTGGCGATGGGGGCCACAATTCTCCAGATGGGGGATGACAACAAACTACACCCCCTAGCATATGTTTCTAAGAAGTTTTCTGATGCAGAAAGGCACTGGTCTATATGGGAGAAGGAGGCGTCTGCAATAAAACTTGCGCTCTCTACTTGGCGCCATTGGTTGGAAGGGGCTCAACTCCCCTTCGAGGTTTGGACTGATCATAAAAACCTCGAAACCCTGAAGTCTCCTCGTATGCTTAATGCCAAACAACTGCGGTGGGCCGACTTCTTTGCTAAATTCTGTTTCACGCTTCACCACTTTCCCGGTTCCTCTAACTCCCTGGCTGACGCTTTGTCCCGCCTCCCTCAGCATGACAGCCAACATGACGTTATCATTGACTCTGTGTTTACTCCCGAGCAGCTGGGCGGAGCCGTGGTTACGCGCGCTCAGGCTCAAAAGCTGCCTACGCCTGCCAGCTCTCCTGTCTCGTCACCTCCTTCCCCTCTTGCGGGGGATTGGGGGGGTAAGTACCATTCTGCCTTCTCAAAGGAAGATGAAGCCACCATACGAGCTTTACCTGACTGTGTGCGCAACCCGGATGGGTTTGTTTACTCCGATCACAGACTTTATGTGCCCATTTCTCTTCGCAGGGAGATTCTCCATTCAGCCCACGGTTCTAAACTCTCTGGCCACTGGTGCTTCGTCAAGTCTCTTCAACTACTCCGCAAACAGTTCTGGTGGCCCCACATGCGCAAGGACCTTTTGGATTTTGTTCGTTCCTGTCAAACCTGTGCGCTTTCCAAACCTAAGGCAGGGAAGCCGGCGGGGCTTCTGCATCCCCTGCCCACACCTACTCGGCCTTGGGATGTGGTTTCTATGGACTTCATCACTGACCTGCCCCCCAGCAAAGGGAAAACTGTCATTTGGGTCGTTGTGGACTTGTTTTCTAAACAAGCTCATTTTGTGCCATTCCCAGCCTTACCTACTGCTCAAGCCTTGGCCAAGGCTTTCTTCTTGCACATCGTGCGCCTCCATCTTTTACCTTCCAAAGTGATTTCAGATAGGGGTACTCAATTTGTTTCTAAATTCTGGAAGGAGTTGATGTCCCTAATGGGGGTGGAACAAGGTTTAAGCAGCGCCTACCATCCCGAGACCGACGGCCAAACTGAACGAGTTAATCAGACATTGGAACAATACCTATGGTGTTTTACTAACTACCAGCAATCGGATTGGTGTGAATTGTTACCTTTGGCTGAATATTGTTATAATAACACTTTTCACAACTCTCTCGGTATGTCTCCCTTTAAGGCAGTGTTTGGTTATGATAGCCCCCCTCTCCCCTTTTTGGTTGGGGACAGTCAGCTCAAACCTTCTGATGTGGGGTCCTGGTGCCAATCTTTGCGGGAGGCATGGCCTATGTTATGCCACACGTTGGACTCCGCTAAAACTAAATACAAAACCCAAGCTGACAAACACAGGGCCAAGGAGTGGGTTGTGCAACCTGGTGATTATGTCTATGTGTCCACAAAGAACATCAAATTGTTGCGTCCTAGTAAAAAGCTGGGATGGAAATATATTGGACCTTTCCGGGTCCGTAGGGTTTTGAATGATGTTGCTGTTGATGTTGAATTGCCTAAAAACCTTCAATCATTGCATTCTGTATTTCACTTCAGTCTATTGAAAAAGGATACTGGCCAATCTAAGTGGCGGGATGCTCATGTTCAACCCCCTCCTATAATCATTGAGGGTCAAGAACACTTTGAGATTTCTGGCATTCTGGACTCCAAGATTAAACGTGGTAAACTGTGGTACCTTGTGGAATGGGTTGATTTCGGGCCCCTTATCACGTTCGTTCGTTCCACAAGCAGTTCCCGGACAAACCGTGAGGTCTCACGGGGAATCCGGGAGTTCTCCCGCCAAGGCCGGGAGTTGGGGGTTAAGTTGTATTTTCAGGTGGGCAGTATGTCAGCGAGCTGCCATTTCTTTGGGACAGGTCTCGTCCCTTTCTCCTCCCCACCCTCCCTTACTCCTGTAGCTGTTATCCTCTTCATGTTGTGCATCTGTAATTGCCAAGGTTCTCCAGCTGGTGGGATGGGGTGTTATGTCTTTGCGCTTTCGCTTGTTTAGTAGTCCCGTGTGAACTCGACTTGTGTTTATAGAACTGGCCGTTGCTGTTCTCAGGCTGCTTCGCGCCTGTTCTAATCTGTAACCTAACGAGGGAAATGAGCTCATTGGTTTGAACCTGGTTTGAAGTTCCTTTAATACACCGTCCCTGGCTCTTGTAGTTATTCCTAACAATCTCTGTATGTTCATGATCAACCATGCTTTGGAAATAAATCTTGCTTCGTTAAGAACGTGGATCTATTCTCCTGATTTGGGATCTAACACCACTCCAATCTTCCTGTATGTCAAGCTTGAAGAAATTTTTATTTTATTTTATTTGTTTGATTTATAGCCCATCCTTCTTGCAAGTGGGCTCAGGGTGGGTAACAACAAAATAATGCATCCAACAATTAAAACCATTTATATAAACAATAATAGTTAAAAACAGTTAAAACGAGAAAAATATCAGACTGATTTCACAGAAGAGCTGTGCCATGGTAATGCCTCCCTTTGCCCCGATTCTATTGGTTAATTTCCCACTCAAAACCGCGCGGCCGCATTTCGACCATGGCTTCGCCCGATTTTTCCTGCGGTTTTGTTTTTATTTATTTATTTATTGAAGTAATTAATCCTGCTTCCATATAACTCAAACAATACATAGCTTAACATATATTACATACTTAAATACAATAAATGCTTCTTTCCCTATTCCCTTTTCTCCCTCCCCCTCCCTCGAAATGACCTGCAATAATTCCTTGATTTATAACTTTAACCATGAGCACACCTTTTGGAGTTTAACCAATATGTTATTATTGCCCCCCCTGCTTTTACCCTTCTTATATACCCTAACCATCTCTTCTTGACTTCCACAATCTTATCCTCACCTAACTTTTCCTGTTTTAATATCATTAATATGTCCGACTGTATCCATTCATATAAGTATTCATTCTATCTGTCTGTACTCCATTTTGTAGCATCTTTCCAGCCAAATGCTATAACCTCATGGGCAGCTAAAATAATAGCTTTAAATAAATCCTGATATGGTTTTTCTATTTTACAGTTCCCTAAAATCCCCATGAATAATACTTTCCCTGATAACTACACTTTCCCTGATAACTCCACTTTAACCTTACATATTTCCTCCACCTTTTCCAATATCTTTTGCCAAAAATTAACCACCTTAGAACACCCCCACCAAAGATGTACATAATAACCCTTTTCTTTTTTACA